GAGGGGGGATCAGCAATGCACTCAGTGTTACTGGAACCCACATAGGTGAAAGAGCATTATTGTTGGGGGATTTATTTCCTATCTCACAGATTGGAGATAAACTCTAACGACGGCTTTGGTTTTGCTTTGAGGTAGGTTTTTTGAGACAGAAACATAAATACTGCGAAGTGGTCAACAGTCTATAAAATGAGAATCCATATTGTTAGCTTTATGGTTCCTTGATCTCAGTTGTGTTTACTTTCATGCTAGAGATTATGCAAGAAAAAAATACTGAGTCAAACATCTGCTGTTCTCTCTGTGATGAGAGACGGGAACTAGTCATAAGGAGCAAAAGCAGGCCCATCTGGGTTGGAAGCAGCGAAAGTCTGCCCTGGCAATTGCTTGAACAGAAGAGTACTCTTCCTTAGCTTCAAAAGTGAATACCCCCACTACTCATTTACCAGTGTGGTTAGGGTTCAAAGACCAGGTCTTATTGGAAAAACTAGTGATATGCAAATAGAGAGGATGATCACGTCAGATCACAAAATGGAAGACGACTACACCATTACCTAACTGCCAACTGCCATCATTACATAAATGTCAAACTACCGAAAATCCTAAGTTGACACCTGACCTTGACCATCACACCCGAGGTTCATCTCACTGACGACCTCATCACTACCACTGTAGTAACCACAGATATCATTAATGCACACAATATGAGCCCCAATAAATTGATAAAAAAAAAAAAATGCACACAATATCCAGATTGTACATGTTCTACTGCTATTGTAAATGTGAAATATTGCCTAATAAGATAGTCAATAAGTGATGACTTTTGGAGGAAAATAAATCCGTCAAGTCTACCTAAATTCCCAATGAGTACCAACACAGTGACCTTCACCATGGATTCCTCACTTACTTACGTTCCCTGTGCTGCACTGAAAACCCTCAGACTCTCTACTCCCCCTTCCCTCCTATCAGTAGCAAAACCAAATGGGACAGAACAGAACAAGGATGAGCACAAAGATTTAATTCAATCACACAATTTGGCAATTTAATATGATGTCCTTTTATTTTTTTTTTCTCCTCTTTTTTAACATTTTATTAGGGGCTCATACAGCTGTTATCGCAATCCATACACACATCAATTGTGCAAAGCGCATTTGTACATCGTTTCTCCAAACATTTTCTCTCCATTTAAACCCCCGACATTAGGTCCTCATTTTTCCCCTCCCT